ACAATGCCAACGCACCTCTGTCTTTAATATAGAAAACAATGACCATACGCTTTCTGAGTCGGGAAAAGAGGAGGGCGAGCAGTAAACCAGGCCTGCCTCGCCCCCTCTAGCCCCAGCCTTCAAGCCCTGGATAATAGAGGGCATGGTCAGTTACAGTTGATGACTACAAATAAAAATCCTTTGTGCACAAATATAACATCCATGCCCCTTTCTGATCACTCTATTGCTCCCACTGCATCTACTTCCTTACATCTACTCTCTAAGTATTCACCTCATCCTGATCCCCATTCCCCTACTCATTCCTCATTGCTAAAAAACAATCCCCTCTCCGACCCTATTTTCCCCTCCACTGATCCTTTCACTGTTTCCACTTCACTCACTTCCACTCATTCATCTACCCCTAGTTCATCCAATCGCCACTCCCATTGTCGTAACGAAATTCGCCTTCAATCCTTCAGCCTTACCTATGACAAACATAAAAACTCTCGCCGACTCCTTACTTTCATTGGAGCAGTGAATGGTCGACCTGCGCGCATTCTTGTAGATGGAGGGGCCGAAGGCAATGTCATAAGTTCCTCTTTCTGCGAGAACACACATGTTCCGCTAATTGAGGGTAGACCCATTCCTGTCATTCTTCCCAACGGTACCGAGACAATTGCTCAGCACACAGCCACGTTCACCCTCGCCCGCAACGCGTATCAGGATAAAATCAACGCCATTGTTTATCCTCTATCCAAATACGACCTAATTTTGGGTAAACCATGGCTGACGGATATCAACCCTCGCATCAATTGGCGAACAAATGATCTGCATTTTGAATACCAAGGTACCCCGGTCTTGTGGGCTTGCACTGGCATCGACAGGAAGCCTAGACAGCGATCTTCCGTCATATCTGCTCTTAACTTCCTTACCGTTGCCTCGGAACCTGATGCCTCTGTATTCCTCACCCAAGTTCGAGTTCCAGTACCTGTCTCTAGCAGTAGTTCTGAACTACCGGACTCTATCAAGCAAATCGTTCAAGTCGAATTCCCTGATGTCTTTCCTACAACGCTTCCCGATGGCCTTCCCCCTGACAGAGGTGATAGCATGCGTATAGAGACTGACCCTTATGCTGACCCACCTGTCCGACCTGTCATCAGATTGTCGATCGCTGAGCTTGATGAACTGAAGAAGCAGCTAACTGATCTTTTACAAAAAGGATTAATCTCACCGAGCACCTCACCATACGGTGCTCCAGTCCTCTTTGTGAAGAAAAAGGATGGCTCGCTTCGAATGTGTGTTGATTATCGGGGCCTGAACAAGATCACAAAGAAAAACAGGTACCCCTTACCACGGATCGATGAATTGATCGACAGATTCAGAACAGCTAAATGTTTTACCAAGCTGGATCTACTCTCGGGCTATCATCAGATGCGTGTCCATCCTGATGATAAACACAAGACCGCGTTCCGAACTCGCTATGGCCACTACGAGTTTAACGTCGTGCCTTTCGGTCTTACAAATGCACCTGCAGCGTTCTCGACTATGATGCGTAACGTACTTGATCCACTTCTTGATAAATGTGTTGTTGTGTATCTCGATGATATTTTAATTTACTCCGATAACGAGAAAGATCACTTAGAGCACATCCGACAAGTACTCTCCCTCTTGCGTCAAGCTGGGCTTTATTGTAAATTATCCAAGTGTTCCTTCATGCAGGAAGAGACTGAGTTCCTAGGCCATGTCATATCCAAGGATGGACTCAAGACGAATGGCGGACTTGTCAAGGCAATAAGGGAATGGCCAGTACCAACAACCCAACGACATGTGATGCAATTCCTTGGTTTGACTAATTTTTACCATCAGTACATTTCTCATTACGCTGATATTGCTCTTCCCCTCACACAATTGTTAGGCTCCAATAAGGAATTCCACTGGGGAAAATCTCAACAAGACGCCTTTGAGACTTTGAAAAGAGCAGTGAGCTCAGCACCAGTTCTTAGGATATTCGATCCTGCCCTCTCTACAGCAGTCGAAACAGACGCTTCAGGCTTTGCAGTTGGTGCTGTCCTGTTCCAGACGGACCAAAATGGTGAATCACGACCAGTAGCTTTTACTTCACGCAAGCTCAACCCAGCGGAACGCAACTATCCTACACACGAACAAGAACTGCTGGCTGTGGTGCATGCTCTGAAGACATGGCGATACTACCTTGATGGTTCTCACTTTGTCGTTTATACCAACCATGCCACTCTACAACATTTTCCTAGCCAGCCGAACTTGACTCGCAGACAAGCAAGATGGATGGAGTTGCTTCAAGAGTATGATTTCGTATTCAAGTATAAACCTGGTAAAGATAACGTCGTCCCTGATGCTCTTTCACGAAGACCGGACCTCAAGGACTTGGAGGCTACACCTACTACTTTGAACTCCTTGGATATCAATCTAGACCCTGGCATTCGAAAACAACTAGCCAGTTGCTACCTACACGATCCAATTCTAGGTCCCCTCGTGCATCAGTATAAGGATGCCTCTACCTCGGATCGTTACTTCGTGGTGGATGGTCTACTCTGGATCAACGCTGGACAAGGCCCTCGCCTCTGCATACCCAAGGACGACGGACTCCGTTCACAACTCTTGCATGACGCTCACGACGCTCCTATATCAGGTCACTTGGGATTCGATAAAACGTACAGTAGCATGCGACGAACATATTTTTGGCCACGCATGGCGAGGGATATAAAAAAATACATTGCTTCCTGTGAGCAATGCCAGCGTAACAAGCCTTCACTAAAGCCTCCTGCAGGGCTTTTCCAACCTTTGGCAATTCCAAGCCAACGATGGGATACTGTAACAATGGACTTCATTGTCAAGCTTCCGAAGACAGCCAGAGGTTTTGACGCGATTACGGTCTTTGTGGACAAACTGTCCAAGCAAGTTCATTTCTGCGCTAGCCGAACTACCGACACTGCCTCTGATGTTGCACGACTCTTTTTCGACAATGTTTTTAGACTGCACGGCATGCCTCGGACAATTGTGTCAGACAGAGATTCACGTTTCACCGGCAAGTTCTGGACAACGTTGATGAAGCTCATGGGCACCAAACTTAACATGTCTACTGCCTTCCATCCACAATCAGACGGACAAACAGAGCGCGCCAACAGAACATTAGAAGAAATGCTCCGCTCTTACATATCGTACAAGCAAAACGACTGGGATCTTTTACTGCCTATGATGGAGTTCGCATACAACAACTCTGTCAATCCTACGACAGGCTTCTCCCCATTCTTTCTGAACTATGGTCACCATCCACTAGTCCCTGGATCTCTTTTAAAGCCACCTGATACCAATGTTCCGGCTGTCAGTGATTTTGTTCGAACCCAGTCGATGAATTTGGCGCTAGCTCAGGATGCCATCATCGAAGCGCAGAATAGGCAAAAGGCCCAAGCGGACAAAACTCGCAGGCCTGCTACGTTTGCTGTGGGTGACATGGTGCTCTTAAGCTCGGAAAACATCTCTGTCGCGGGACATAAAAATAGGCCGTCGCAGAAACTGGAACCTGAGTACATAGGCCCTTACAAGATCATTTCGAAGGTCAATGAAAATGCCTACAAGCTGGAACTACCGCCTGACATGCATCAGCATCCAGTCTTTAATGCCGATCTGCTTCGCCCCTATATTGAGTCACCTCGTGAATTCGGCGACCGCTTACCACCACGCCCTGCCCCCGAGCTTGTAGATGGAGAAGAGGAGTATGAAGTCGACAAAATCATTGACTTCAAAATGTTTGGCAAAACTCCTAAGTGGCTCGTTCTTTGGAAAGGCTATCCATTAGATGAAGCCACTTGGGAAACAAAATCTTCGCTCGCAAACGCTAAAGAGGCGCTTGCCGTCTTTGAGGCTTCAAGAAAAACAAGATAATAGGTTTCTTCATGACGGGAAGGATGCAAGCGAAATCACTATAATAATTTTGTGCAACATAGTATTTCGCCCATATTTCTAGAGCATTCCTTGCAACAGGATATTAACTAGTATAAATAGGTCTACTTTTCTATCTAGTTCTGTAGCATAGTTCCCCCTGAATAAAGATACCTTTATTGCACCCTTAGATCCCCCTAGAACACTACCTTGATTTTTGCATTCATCCAGCACAGTTGTCCTTTTAAAATATAAGGAAGAGAGCATTAGCGACTTCTTGAACAAAAGATATTCACAACACAAGGCTTAGAACATTACATACCACTTGCTGCTCGTATGCTTGATCGACCCAAATGTCACATTCAAGCAGGGGTCGATGAGGTATCGAATAAAAGTTGCCTCATTCTCAAGGCTAGAAAATGTCCATAGCTGTTGCGACGAGATCAGCTGCAGCAGGACCTGGTGGAGAAGAGGAAAACAGGGAGGGTTGCTTCTCAAAAGCTTTGAGTACTCGTCGAAGTTGTTACTTGCTACCAGCGCTGCCCATTTGTGGCACTCAATGATCATGGTAGACTTGAAGTTATTGATCTTTTTCTTGCCCACAGAGTCCCACATGGACTCCCAAACATGGTCTTGGACCTCCCCCTGCAAGCCCCAAATCTGGTTCTCCGACTCCAGAAGGAAGATAAAGTTGATAACGCTATCAGACAACGCGGTCAGTAGTCTTTAGTACAAGATAGAAGAGGAAAGGCGCTGCAAGGCAAAGAATGAAATAATAAAATAAAACGTACAGCATCTCATGGGGCCGCGAGATCCCATAGTTCTCTCGAACTATGCGATCTCGGAATGTCATTAGGTCCTTGCTGATGTCGACACCATTGTACATCCATGATGTTTCGAGTATGGAGTCCTCTCGGCCACTCCCTCCAAGAAAGTGGTAGACATACCTATCCGACTCTGAGGACGTCTCCGATCCATGGTATGAGTAGAGTGAACCAGAGGTTGTTGTTGTGGTGGAGACTGTAGAACCGAAGCTAACCCTGCGCCGCTTGCTTAATTCTGCTTCTATCCTCAGATTGCTTTTTGGCATTCTAGCAAGATTGTTAAGAAGCAGTTAGTTTGTGTCCATTATATGGCTTCGCAGACTTCATAAGCACAGTTGGTTCATAAAATAAACAGTCAACCGGTTGACTTATATGATAAAACATGGTATTACACTTCAGGTTGAAAAATGTATTAACATATTCAATGCGCATTTACCTTAGTCCTCGGAGCAGCTGTCGACGCAATCATTACCTTGTCGAGCTTGGTAGGAACGGTCGTGGTTGTCGCTGCCGTATCTAATTGGCAAATACTATAATTAAAGACCATACTATACTTATTTGCATATAAATATATTTCGCATCATTTTACCTGAAGAAGGAATTTGCTCATCGATCTGCGGACTTGAACCATCTACCTCAGTGTACGTATCGGAATGTCCCACGTATTTATTTTCCTTCAATCCAGCCTCTGCTGCTATTACAGAATATGGGCAAAACAGTCAGTTATAATAATTAATAATGACAATAATTAATAATAACAATATTAATACAAACAGTAATACTTCAGCCAATCCATAAAGGCACTCACCATCGCTCCGTTGTGACTTTGACAGTTTGTTGCTGTTTCTAAGGATTTCCTGTGGGCGCTTGCGGCTAACTATTGTCAATAAGGAGTTAAAAAAAGAAGAAAAAAATCATATGAAAAAATAGGCACAGTTCCAAAAGCATACCTTGCTCCTCGTCTTGCGCATCCAGTTCATCCCATTTGTTTCTATTAATGGAACCGCTTGCGAATGCCTCCGAACCCTTTACTAACACAGCTGCTGTTCTGATTTGTGAATCTCTTGAACTGCGATCCATCCAGAATTGAGCAGCCTTGTTAATTTTCCATGATTCGAAAGCATTACGAAGCTTTCCTAGTTCCTCCTCCGTAAAACCACCTATACCCAGTAAACGGGAGTAACGCTGGTGTTCTTCGTGAGATTTATGAGCGCCTGATCTGAATTTTTTGAAGTATATTTCGGGAGATATCTTGTCTTCATTGCGGATCCAATGTAGTTCCTCTTTAGAAAAGTTCATGTGGGCTTTAGGCATATTGAAAGTACCTAATAATTTTTGCAAAAAATTGATAGTGATTGCAGAGATATTGTAATAAAGTCAGCTTAAAAGAAGACAAGGTAACTAACCAGTTGGGTTCAAGGAACAAGAGAAGTGTGGTCAAGGATGGAGGAAGCAAATTATAGTAAAGATATGATGTGCAATAAAGCCAGACTAGAGGAAGACTAGGTAACTAACCAGGTAGTGTGCAAGGGATCAAGAGAAGTAAGTGGGCAAGGGATTAAGAGAAGTATGTGGGCAAAGGATCAAGAGAAATATGTGGGCAAAGGTGAGGGAAGCAAGTATAGTAAAGATAAGGTGTTTATTGCTACTTGATATGAGATGGTACTTCTAGACTATTATATGTCTTGGTTGAGGTGGCAGAGTCTTCCTCATTTGATGATTGATTACTAGTCGTAGTCTTGGCATCGGATAGGGTACTCTCCACTTGTTTGTCTTCCGGAATATCATTGGTCAATTTGGAGTCATGCGGATGAGTCATCTGGTCTTGCTGCGGATTGCGCAGCATCGGTTTGCTTGCATTAGCTATTAGATCGCATCAAGATTATCATTAGTTCTTGCCGTAATGACATCATCTTAATCCTAACCTCCCTTGTCCATGTGAGTGACCATTGTTTACACGACTTACACATATTAAATCAGTAGAAAATCTACAAAACGTGCCCTCAGAGATTATCTATCTCTGACAGGTATCCTAGTGTTGTACATTAATCAATAAGAACAGTAATCAAACGGATTGGATTGTTTCCACAACAAAAGAATTTAAAAGCAAGAAGACCAGCGAGCACACAAGAGCCAAGTGCTTTGAGCAGCTTCCTCAAATACACTAATGGCTGGAGTGGTTTTGACATGATCCCACCATGATAAACATCAAGATGAGACGAGGTGCTGTAGTGATAACGAGCGCACAGGAGCCAAGAGTTTGATTTCTACTTCAGAACTACCTCAATTACACTAATTGAGTAGACCAAGGTGGAAACGCGTCAAAAGGCCAAGGTGGTTTAGACATGATGTCCTAATGATAAAACATCAAGAAGGCACGAGGTGTTATCACTAAACAAGACAGCGAGCGCACAACAGCCAAGCGATTAGCTTCAACTTTGAGCAGCTACCTCAATTACACTAATTGAGTAGGCTAAGGAGGAAATGTATCAAATAGCTGGAGTGGTTTCGACATGATGCCTCAACGATAAAACATCGAAGTGGCACGAGGTGCTGCCTTGCAAGAATGAAAACAAAATAATAAATAAAATAACAAATAAATAAAAAAATAAAAAAACAACCGTGTACTTGTACGATAGTGTGACGATTAAGCGTAGAAGGTGATGAGAGTGAGTCTAACAATTTGGATATAGAATAAAGTGAGTTATTCCCAAGGCATTAAAACGTCAAGTAATTTCATTTGAAAGTGCAAAGATGATAAGGATGTTGAGCGAGGAGGTGGCAGTAAAGTAGAACGAACAAGGCGCGTGAGAGAGTAATATACCCAGCAGTGCTCCTATTCGAACTGAAATTTGTCAATTGATATTTATTTTTTTAATCTGAAACATCATAATTGACAAAATTTCAGTTCAAATAGGAGCACTGATACCCAGATGGGTGTGTGATTGAGAAATGGTGTGCGAAGGGTGAGAAAAAATAAATAGACGTCGAGGAAAAGGAAAAAAATAAATTAGTGCGCAAAGAAAACGAGAAGAATTGTGAGGGTGAAAAAAGAAGGAATGCAAAGAGAGCAGTGAATGTAAAAGGCACGTAATGAGGGAGAACGATAAACGTGTACAGAGTGAGGTAAAAAAAAAAAAAAAGTGAGAGAGTGGTGTGCAGAGAGAGCGTAAAAGAGAAGCGGAGTGGCAATGGAAGAAATTTAACGCGAAATCAAGTCTTCAGCCAATAATCAATCAATTAAAGAAGCGAATTAAGATTAATTACCTCAAATAAAGGTGCAGTTGTGTTGCAGGAGAAAAATGTGTAAACAAAGATTGCGAGGGTTAATCAAGTAAAAGAGGGGAAAATGGGACGAAAGAAAGGATGATTAGACACTTTGAGGAAACGAAGAATTCTTTTAAATGTGCGACTTTAAGGGGAATAATAAAAGTGATTCTTATACGTCATTCTTTTTTTTTTTTTTTTTTTTTTTTTTTTTCCGTCTTCACGCGTTCGTCAAAAAAAAAATAACGCAAATCGATTGTTCTTGCTCAACTCTCAGATATAAATCAATAACGATATTCCTGATAGAGCGCTGGAAAGCAGATGTCTTTGGGATGGTCGGTAGAAGAGCCTATTGTCTTTCGTTTAAGATAGGTCCTAAGGGGGTCCGTTCAGGATTCATGGAGTAGCACTTGTACAAAGTATTGGAAGTATAAAAAAACCAAAATTATGCCATTTTTGACACACCCAATAGATTATAGCACCCGAACCGTGAGAGGCAGTTCTTGAGTAAATGGCCGTAGAGTATCGAAAATTCACTATTTTCCACCACCTGCCCGCTTTTCCTTTAAAAAATTTTTTTTTTTCTGTATATGTAACTGGTAGTGATTCTATGGCCGTTGGATTCGTAATTGAAAAATACAAATAACCTGAGGGTTTTGTGAGTTTTGAGTGTCTCTGTGTCGTGCTCTCGTTTTTACCAAGTATTGCAAAACTAATTATGAAATGGTTGCCTAGATTAGTCATATACTCTGTCTTGGTGCACTTATTACTTTACTACGGAAACTGACCTTCGTCAGAAAACGTGAAACCATGGATATCTACATGTCTTTTCGCACACGAATAGGAACCCTCAAAAAATATTTATTATCATGTGAATTATATATAGGAATTAAGTGATTTTAAGTTCAAAGGCGGATGTTTATTTCCTCTGGTTGCAGATCAGCAGCATTCTTCTCTCGATTTAAAATAACCTGATCCAATAACATTTGGGAGAAGAATGTCATTGAGCGATACTTGTGTGACATATTTGCCTATTTAATTAACGTTCAGGCGAATGTATGATCCAGAGGTGTAGATCACTTGGGTGATGGGAGCAATATCGTTGCCATTTTCCAGAAATGACTTTGCGAACGCGCCCATCTGAAAGTATCCCAAGCGCGTTTAGAGATGTTGCTTGCCTGTGAAGGACCTGTTACTTCACCGAAAAAAGCCTCATATCCTCGAAGCTTAACGATGACATCAGGACGGTCAGCTTTGATCCGCCGACGTTTCTGAAGCTTCGATTCAGCGTTAGGACTAAATGAATACAAAATTAAAAGGTTACGTTATATTAGCATGTCATTCTATAAACCAACAGAAGATTGGGACACATGATTTTCAAACGTACAAATGAATATTATTATTAATAGAACCACTTGCAAATGGCTCTGAACCATTCACTAACGCAGTTGAGCCTTATTAATCTTCCATGTTTCGAAAGTACAGCGAAGCTTTCGTAGCTCCTCCTCCGTAAAGCCACCTATATCCAGTAAACGGGAGCAACGTTAGTGTTCTTCGTCTTCATTGCGGATCCAATGTAGTTCATTTGAAAAGTTCAACTGAGATTTAGGCATGTTGAAAGTAATCAAGCAATTAAAGAAGCGAATCAAGAATAATTACCTCGAATGAACGTTAAAGGTGCCGTTGAGGTGGAGGAGAAAATGAGAAAGATGTGAAAACAAATGCGGGAGGAAATCAATCACGATTTAGTTCCTCTATCAGAGTACATTGACTTTATTGATTTACAATTCTACTTTCATTTGGGTTGTCCGTCTGGCCTGCCTTCTTCCTGCATCTCCAGAGCTCATCTTGCAGATCAACCGCCAAAACATGTTGCTTGATATTTTTTAATTCGATTGTCGGCCTAGGATCCACACGATCTGCTCCAGTTCTGTAAGTTTGTTTCTTGAACTCCTCGACCATGTCTTGCGGGACTATAAAAATAAATGCAATCTCGTCAGAGGAGCCAATCCACTTTTTATCTTGCAGAGTTTTCAGAAGCTTCTTGAAGTTTTCACTTTTGATGCCATGTTTCTTGTTCGTCGTAATCTGGAGTAGATACATATTTCGGAGCTATTGACATATCCACACAAGAAAAGGTCTTACTCTTTGGCAGGCACAATGATCCTTCCATATCGTCCTTCACATATTCATCCTAAGTATGAATGAATTTGGTTTTCGGGCCTTCTCCGACTTCAATAGTTATCTCAGTGCCATCATCAATGCTCTTGGCCTTAAAGCTACGACCGCCCAGCCGCAGTATACGCTGCACATAGTTTTGGAACATTACTCCTTTGCCTAGTGGATTACCATCGACGAGCATTCTCAACACCTTGGCACGGGTACTCTCGTCCGATAAAGTATACACCTTTTGCATGACATCATTAGAAGCCTGTCGTAATTCGAATCCTTTATGATCGTTTGTTGGATAACGGTGAAAAATCTGGCTGCTAAACTCCAATGAATCCCGGCCCTGTGTATACTGTATTATTATATTTGATACATCATCCCGGAGGTTGGATAAAGCAAGCTCAACGCGTTCTAATGCTTCCGACTCGGCATCGCCTATTTTCCCATTATTCTCGGTTCCCATGGAGCCATGTGGTACTTCCATATCACCCTCTTCATGATTTCTTGGTACCCATTCGCGCTAGAAAGTAAAGTTCTTGGTGATACCGAGAAGATAGTCCTGGCTTGTGTGAGCTCTGGTGATGGTGCACTGTCGACTGGGAACCAAGTGTTGGATAGTTGCAGGAAGGGCATGAAATCCTCCATGTCCCCATATCGAACAACATATCGTCCACCGAAAGCATAGCACTTTGAACTTTCCTTTTTCTGGATGATGGTAATAGGCGGGTCTTCCTCATTGCTAACGGCAAGCAGCCGGATGGCGAAGTATACGAGAAAGGATGATTTCCCTATACCGGCTGTCCCTGTGACAACAATTTTGGTTGCAGGCTCTCTATCATCTCTATTTATATAAAAATCCTTGACGACCGTGTCGTAGAGTTTTTTGAAAGCTGACCTTACGTACAGATCATTCATGTTGATCACAGAAAGCTTTGTCCCCCAAGGGCTGGATATCACGTCGATTTCTTGAAATGATGCGTTTTGGAGGGAAGTGGTAGTTTAGGGTACTGAATAGTAGTGGTTATCCTCTCCCACCATGGCGCCAATATTTTTAAGTATTGAAACCAGTTCTTTACTCATAAGGCTCCGCAGGCGTGGAACACCGTTTATTAAAGCCTTTTGGGCAAGTCCTGCTGCACTAATCGTCTCCAGTAGGCTCATGTTTTCTAGCTTGGCCTTTTTGAGGGAACTCCTATCACTCTCGTCATTCTCTAGCTGATCTCGATCCCTTTTCGAAACTGTTTGTTAAAATATAAACAAATAGAATAGTTTCAGAAGGTAGTTTTGAAGCCTTAAATCGAAAACATCAGTCGACCACCAACAAGAACTAAAGACATACCTCGCTTCGGTACTTCAACAATAATGTAAATGAGACTATCTGCTACTCCGCCAGTATGGAGTTTTTCACATACGTTGTCAAGGACCTTGATTGATTGACCCTTTGGACAACTTGCGTATCCCCTCCCTTGTTGCACCACCAGAGATGAGTTTAAGATACTCCACTAGGAAAATAGTCGCTGGTGATTCCTGAGCAAAAAAGTATCGGTGATTCTCCTCATTGATGCCTCCAAGTCCTCTAATTAATTAAATTGAATTCTTAATATAGCCATACTGCGAAAGAATGAAGAGTAATTCGATGGACATCACTTACGAGATGGAGATGACGTTCGGCTGATTGGAGGAGAAGACGAATGTACTATTATACTTGGTTGATTATACTTGTTGGGGCGACTAATTGGAAAAAAAAAAAAAAAAAAAAAAAGTAATTAGACGCGTCATCATCATAATCATCAGTGTAATTGAACAAATAAGAACAGCGCTTACCTGCAGATGGACGCTGAACAATGACATGGATGGCTTTCTTTGCTGGTGTGGTGCCAAAGACAGAGATCTCGCTAGTTGGATCTTCCAGCTCCTCAAGTTTCTTTCTCTCATCAGCAGTTAGATTGTTGAGTGTAATTAGTCTTTTTGGCGCAGAAGAGATCGAAACATGATGGAGAACTAAGTCACTTGCGCGGATGTCGTCAAGCAAAAGGTGATTGTTTTTCTTTAATCGCGTCCTTGAGCGTCGAAAGCCAAGCTCAAAGGAAATGCAGTGGGATCCCCATCGAAATACAAAAGAGTTTAATTTTTTGGGTTGTCATTTTGGTATAATTGCGCGCAAAAAAAAAAAAAAAAAAAAAAAGAAAAATAATGGACACTAAAGATTAAGAAAAAAGAGAGAAAATGATTGAGAGAATGTGTGAGAGAAAAATGAAGAGTGTGCTCACTAAAAATAAATTACGTACACAGTGTGGTGCAAAATTTAAGCTTCTTGCCTTGTTTTTTATTCCTGCCGCAGCATAAAAATTAATTAATCATCCATCATCATAAAATTATATACCAACATTATTATCCCACACATTACTTTCTTCACAATATTTGTTTACACCTTTCTCTCACTCTCCTCCTCCACTAACCTTTACGTTTAATCCGAGGTTAATTAATTAGCGGATGACGACTTGATTTCGCGTTTAATTGCCTTCCCACTCCGCTTCCTTTTTTTACCACCAGCAAACTTTTTTTTGTTCGCACACTGTCCCTGCACAGCTGGTTTTTTTTTTTTTACCTCATTTATTTTCTCATTCATTTCGTGCTTTTTATTTTCACCACTCACTTTGCATCCATTCTCTTGGACTTATCATAACTCTGTTTATTTCATTTTAATTTTATTTTTTTTTAGTTATCTCACCACTTTGTAATTGCCCCCACTACGTTGCTTGGGAGCCTGGTTTATAATAATCCTCTTGTTCACTCTGCTCCTCCTGAGGTAAGTGATTGGTATTCTTGAGCATATTCATCAGCAATGAAGTGAAATGGTTTGAGAATCTCTATCCCATGTTACAGACTTAGCAGTGTGATGGACATTGTTGACATTTAATTGATGTCAAAGTCCTATCCCTGTACTCCTCGACTGCCCGAATGGCGGAGGAGATGTCGACCAGGTGCACTGACTGCCCGAATGGCGGGTGCATCAAGGTATAGTATCAAGTCTCGAGGTTCTGACTGCCCGAATGGCGGGAATCGTTTGCGTCTCAACTCATTTCCTTCAGCTGCTGGTGTTTATGCTTTTTCTGTTTGCTTGGGTATCGTTGATGACTTTTGACGAAAACGAATGCACGAATGCTATGGACCCTATTTATTTTATTATTATTATTTTTCCCTTCGCTCACAGATTCCTAATATCTTGGGTTATGTATCAATGCTTGAAGGCGAAATGAAGTCTATTCATCTATCATATTTGACACGATTCTTGCGTACATGTTACTCTCCTTCCCAAAAGCGCCCCATTTGAACCAATTATACTTTAGTTAAAGGTAATCAGTTAGAGCTTAATTCGTTTTACGCGACTATGCATCTTTTTTTTTTTTTTTTTTTTTTTCTCTAAAGTCACTGTCTTTTTATTTATTTTATAAACTCACATTCTTTTTACTTTGTACACTTTTATTTTCTTTTTTTTCACCCCACTACCCATCTTTCAGCAAACATCATTGCCCTTTCATTCTTTTTTTTTTTATTTGTCCTCACTCTGTACACTCTCTTTTATTTTGATACTCTCTCATTTTCTGCATTCCTTTTTTTCATTCTCATCTCTCCCGTCAGCGCTTTATACTGACCAAACCAAACGAACTTACAAGTTTGGTCAGCGATACTACCAATGAATGCCAGGGCTCTTCTGTGATACAGGCCTCTCTCGCTCTCTTCCGTGTACTCTGGGCAGAGACTGATTCCGTTACAGGCGAAGAACTCGAAATCTCCTCAGGAACTATTTGAGCGTTGGGTAATTACGGCCTCTATTAATATCAATTAAAAGTATAGAGCATTCCCACACTTGCAGCTAGGGTAGTACCTGACTCTTGAGTGCTAGCCTTTGTCGTCTCAGGTTCATCTATCGTACCTAAGAGATTTCCTTACGTCAGCATTGATGAAGTCGACCTTGCCGAAGAAACAAGACGTCCAAAGAACAACACCTACCTCCTCTCGCTATGTCTCAGATGAAACAATGTGTAGTGTTAGAAACAATTTCAACGAGGCCAGGCTGGACAGAGGACAATATCATCAATAAAAATACCCTGTGAAACCTCTACATTGGTGAAGAAGGCGCGTGTTAATTTCTTATCAGATCTACAGAATACAAGAGTCATTGCGATAAGTACACTTACTTTCAGTATGTTGTTGGATTGACGTTCGTATCATCGAAACTGCTGATGCGTTTGAGCGGTCTAAGGTCCCCAAGACACAAATGTCATCGTATTCCTTTCGGCAACTTTCCATATCAAGTTGGTACAAAGATGCTGCCCGATCGCCACGCAGGCGCTCCCGACCGACGTAGCTTACAAAGCATGCGTAAAGCTTGTCGAAGTCGGAGTGATCGTGCCGGTCAGTGATGGCAAATAGCCTAAACGATTTCATTCTAAGAGTTTTGTCTCAAATAGAACATTAATAAATGTCAGTCAGCTGGCATACAGACAAATACTTGAAAAATAAAATGAATAAAGAAATATGAAGGCTCCCCTCCCCGCCGGCATCTATGAGGCATCAGATGAACGACATTGAGCATAACCAGTTGCGGAGGACTACTGGACAGTGGCTGAATGGCGACAATGGCTGAGAGAGCTCATCCGTATGAATGCGTAGACAAGAAATCTCCACGTCCCACCCTCATAGACACGCTAGGAGCAACTGTGAAACGCAATAAAAGTCTTGCCATATGACCTTGATGACCAAGTAAATGAGATGCAAGTAAAGCAATAGACGCAAGTAAACAGTAAAGCAACAGATGCAATTAACGGAGTCCCCTTAGATACTCAAGTTAGCCAAATATGCGACACCTTAAACAAAAAATAAGGAATTAATCTATAATGGATTATGATGCCAAATCCAGTCCTTTTTCCATTTAAGGGTATTATGTTTCATGTCTGTACGTACAAGACATGTGTCCGTTTTGTGGCTTTTACTCCGACACTTGTCCTGAAATTTGAATTGACATCAAATCCATCGAAATTTTAACAATGTCATCATGGTATGCTAAAGATCTCTTTCTTTCTTCTTTATTTCACGCCTTCATTCCTCCATACATTCATATACACAATAAAACAATAAAACCTACAATACACAGAGTAGACTTACCCTCTCCCCTGACTAAAACTGAGAAAAATAACGGCACATTCGCATTTTCAAAGGTTCATTCCTGCTTGCTCACTTTCAAAATGACAAACAACAACGAAAAGATTTTATCCAATTTCACCTGCATGGATTTGGAACAAAGCACCAGTCAGACGAAGCCAACCAATTCAAGTACTCGCACTGGATCCACTCGTGCAACACCGAGGAGAAAAAGAGTTATTCTGACTGACGAAACGACTCCAGAGCCTTCACCAGTGGCACAGACTGCTAGAGTTAGTGCAAAGTCTTTTAAGCGCCCTAGGCGTTGTGAGGCTGATTCTTTATCCTCAAATGTCCTTCACTCCGGTCCATTGACAGAAGAAGAGCTGGCCCTGGCGAACGCACGGAAGGAGTCGGCGAGAAGTGTGCTGCAGATGATTTTAGATGATCCAGATTCATCGACGACAGTGAATCAATATAAGACACAGCTCCGGCTGTGGGAGGTATGTTGGATCATCAAAATGTCGCTATGAGCTATCTCAGACAGGCTATCAAACTAGACGACTTGGCTAATTCTCTTTTTTGTTTTTAGCAATACTGCAATGAAAATTATCAAGGTGACTGTAGCGTCGATGCGAAACGCATGCTTGAATACTTCACAACGGTTGTCTTCAAGCGAACAGTAAAGCGATTGATCGGCACAGATCGTTGCTACCGTGGCGCTATTGGGTATGCCCAGCAGGGTGGAGGAGATTCTTCGAATTCTCAGGCTGGGGAAGACGCAGTCTATGAGGGAGAAGAGATCGACGAATTAGTCGAGGCAGATATCGACGAACATGAACTAAGCGACATGGAGCAGAGACTGGAGACATTAGATAACAGCGAGCAAGTTGATGACGACGACGGCCAAAGCATAGACCAAGGTCAACAACAGGGACAGGGTCAGAGACAGGGTCAGGAACAGGGTCAGGAACAGGGTCAGGAACAGGGTCAGGATCAGGATCAGGAACGGAGACAGGGTCAGGGGCAGGGACAGGAACAAGGACAGGAACAGGAACAGGAACAGGAACAAGGACAGGAACAGGAACAGGATGAAGATCTGGAGCTTCAGCTGAGGTCATTGGCACAGAGAGGTAAGAAGGCTCCTCCCTCCTGGGATAATATGGAGCCACCTGAAGGAGTCGACCCACATCAATGGCAGATTGATATAGCATTGAATGATGAGGAGCGAGCATCACATGAAGCTGTAACTGTTGGGGGTTCAAGCAAGAACATCACGCCGAAGCGGAAGACTGCAGCCGTTATCAGGACTGAA